TGTATATTTGTGCTCTCAAGTGCTATTACAGTACTTATTTGCAAATAAAATAATCTGCAGGCACAACTTAGACTCTGGCTTTTGTGTCTCATAACGGCAATATTTTCATTGTATGTTAGTTTACTTAGGCCACGCTTGTGACTTGGCACAACACTGCAGGGAAGTAAGGAATAAGACCTCCACTGCAGACCCTGTCCAGCTGTGCCAGGTTTACCCAGATTATGAGCCTCAGTCTGAGAGGGCAACAACGGTTATGCACCTGTTAGCTCCCCATGAACGAGTGAGGTAAGTTGGAGTGTAAGCGGACACATGGTTTCTATCCCCTTATGCGTGCCACAAGATGTTAGTCCAGTGACAGATAGTCAAATCACTTAATGAACAACTGGAAGTGCACAGGTGAGGACCCAACAGAATAGAATAAGCTGGAAATAAGATGAGAAGAGAGTATGCTACATCTACTACAGGGCCAATAATTCTTACTCTTCCCCTCCTCCCAGCACAAGACAGAAGCTCCAAAGGAACTTAACTTGTCTGAGGGAGAGATCTTTTCTGGAGCTCCTCCTGGGGCAGCACAGCTACCCACCACCCCCTACAGAGGAGAACAGTATATTAATGGGTTAGTGGCTGTGTTTATGAGCTCCATAGAAGAAGTGAAACATGCAAAAGGATACGACTGAGAAAAGAGAAGGCGGCCAGAGCAGAAAACAGCATGATACTTTTATTATTACCTCTCATCCTCTCTCCTCTTATTTTTAGGTTTATTACAGTAGTATCTAGGGTCCAACAAAGACCAGGGCCTCACTGTACAACACAATGTATAAACTGATTAGTAGACAGTCCCCATTCAGTAATTCATTACACCCATCATTGAATCCTGTCTTAGGGGTAGTGACTGAGCACTCCCACAGTATAAAATAATTATACCACCATCACTGGGAGAGGGAGCTCCCTCACCCTCCCATCATGCATAGCACACCTAAAAGCAAACAAGTAGTAACGAGAAGGAAATACTCACTCCGGGCCTGGGCCTGCTCCCAAGGAAATCAATTCCACCTCTGTTACTGGTTTCAGTGGGAGCAAGACCAGGCCCTTTGCGACTGACCCAGCTCCCTTTGAAATCAATGGCAAATCTCCCATTTACTTCAATGGGTACTGGATCAGGCCCAATGTCCTCAGAGTCTGATAAACACTCAGACCCCCAAGCTATCAACTAAACCAAAGAAAAAACTAAGGAGACTCTCACTCACTATCCCCCACCAAATTAACGAATCAACAAGAAGAAAAAATTCTGGAATCTCACTAAATACTTTGGGATGACTGAATTAGTGGAATCACCATGAGGGGGGCTACCCCAAACAATGTTACCCCAAATAAGTGCCAATAGAACCTTCACTCCATATCATCCTACTTTGTTTATGATGTTTTACAAAAATAAAAACCTAACTTTAGAATAACAAATTTATTTGAGCACTTCAATCTCTCTGGTCACTCGATTACAGACCTAAAAGTCACAATATTACAACAAAAAGACTTCAAAAACAGACTCCAATGAGAGACTGCTGAATTGGAACTAATTTGCAAACTGGACACCATTAAATTAGGCTTGAATAAAGACTGGGAGTGGATGTGTCATTACACAAAGTAAAACTATTTCCCCATGTTTATTTTTCTCCCTACTGTTCCTCACACGTTCTTGTCAACTGCTGGAAATGGCCCATCTTGATTATCACTAAAGGTTGTGGGTTTTTTCTTCTTCTTCTTCTTCTCTGTCCTGCTGGTAATAGCTCACCTTACCTAATCACTCTCATTACAGTGTGTGTGATAACACCCACTGTTTCATGTTCTCTGTGTATATAAAATCTCCCTATTGTATTTTCCGCTGCATGCAGCCGATGAAGTGAGCTGTAGCTCACGAAAGCTTATGCTCAAATAAATTGGTTAGTCTCTAAGGTGCCACAAGTACTCCTGTTCTTTTTGCGGATACAGACTAACTTGGCTGCTACTCTGAAACCTAACTTTAGAATGTTTTTGTAGCTTTTTAAAATCTTTGAGACTATTTTTAAATATCCTCACTATTTATAAAGCCAGGATATCTTAGTTCCATGAGTCCAAATTGCAGAGGGTTCAGAGGGATAGAAAAATTATAAACAGTACATTTTAGAAAACGCTAAAAAGAGATATATGATTTATAGAAGAACTATTATAACGTCATGATATTTAAGGTCTGCCAGCAAGAGGGAAAAAATCCCTTATGCTATTAGAAAAGAGGGATTCTTAACTCTCTAGTGACAAAGCTGCCATTTCTGGCCCTGGTGGTTCACAAAATATCAAAACTCAAACCCAACAATAGTGGAGGGCTGCATATTCCCAATCCTGAACTCCAGACTACTGTAAGGTTGTGTTTGGGACAGGGGAAACAAGTTCCACATGTGGGATGAAAAATATTTTTGGAGGGCTAATATTGGAAAGGACTACTCCAGTACCATGCATTTAGATCTTAAGAAGAATGGCTCACTTTAGAAAGCATAACATTTTTTCCATATCAGTGAGATTTGTATATACAAATAATGACCTGGTCTTCAAAACAAAGAAACAGATCCTATTGGCTACAGAAATGGATTAAACGTCCCTTTAGTTCTATAAAGCCTAACTAAGGTCTGGGTTTTCCACACAAGGAATAGAGCTGGTTAAAAATGCCCTTCACCCCCAAAAAGTGAACTTTTTTTGCCAAAATTTAGAAAAATTTCTACAAGCTCTAACATCATGAAAGCTACTTAAAATTGAATTCACCTGCAAAAGAAAAAAATAGGTTTGTGCCTTAGGTGTCACAAAGAAGCAACAAAGTAGGATTGGAAGTTTTTCCATTTTCTCCTTGCTTGTTGAGTAAAAATTCAAGACTTGTCTACCCTAAGGGTTTTTTTGTGTGTTTGTGTGTCTCCTGTAAAACTCTGAAGAGCTGTTGGAGAACTAGAGTATGACATGAGTGACAATAATGTGAACCTTGAGCAACTGAGGGCTTGTCTTGACTAGGGTGTTTACCTCACGTTATTTGATTGAGGGAGTTACCATGTTTTCAAATTTATTGGCAAAGGCTAGTCTGGACACTCCCCAACATTTGTTCAAGGACACAAATGTCTGTGCTGACTTGGACTGAGAATAAAAGGTAGCTGTAAACATTTTTCACTTGGACTATTACACACCTATAGATGAGATCTGGCAAGACTGATTTACATTTACTGATAGTTGACTTCTAACTGATTTTTTTTTTAATAATCTACCTTGTCTGGCCTCTCAAAAGGTTATTATTATTATCTATATTACTGTAGTGTCTAGGGACGCCAGTCATGGACCAGGACCCCATTGGGCTGGGTGCTGTACAAACAGAACAAAGAGAAAGTCTACAATATCCACAAAACCCTTTTAAATGCTCTTGCCTAAATAACAACACATACTTAAGTATTGTAGAGATAATGTTTTTGCCTGCCCATAATGCCTCTCTCATTTTCTCTTTCTCCAGTCAGCTTTGTGTTGCTGGTCTCATAATTCTCTGGCTCTCTCAATGCTTCATTTCTTCAGATGGGCTCATTTTAAGACTTGTAAGCCTTTGAAAAATTAAAAACAACGACGGCCTTTAGTCTTCTCCCCTTCCCCCGCAACTCTTACAGAGCTAACAGAGTATATGGTGACTTATCAGGCACCTGGAAAAGATGGTACTGAAGAATTGGAACTGCTTTGAAATTTATACATTCTCTTCACAGTCATGAACATTTTATATGAGATTGGATGTTTACTATCCAAAATTATTGAATGATAATTCACTCATTAAATAAACTAGACTTTCTGGCCTTAGAGGCAGCTAATACTGCAGTTCCTTCTATCCTGAAGTATTTTTATAATTAAAAAGACTCACTTAAAATGGAACAGCATGAATGAATTCATCCAGATCATTGCTATTATAATGAATCATTAACATTCTAATAAAAATTTTATGATGATGAATAATACAGTCAAAATGATGAGACATGGAAAATAAAGCATTACTCTGCAACGTATGAGAGATAATGTATTTAATGATAAAGTGATGCTATGGAAGTTGGTAGGCTAAGTTTTGGGGGTTTTTTTTTAAACAACCTCAATACTGATCCCTTCTGGAGATCTTACTTTCTAGATGCTTTTCATATATTTAATTCGCTCACCAAACATTTATAACTGATCTGGAGAAAAAAATATTTATAAAAATAGAAACACGTGGCTACTTAATATCAATAAATATCAGTTAACACAAACAGCTGTCTAATTTCCTCCCTTAGAAATGGCTTTTTGATTTCAGTGAGAGATAGCCAAGTTTATGAACGCAGAACTGAATCTCAGTGTGTGAACACTCATTTGTTGAACAGCAACCTTCATTGAAAAAAAAATCTTCTTATCTTTACCATACTATATGTACTATATTATAGAAAACCATTATGTAGGTTGGATACAATTTATTTGATATTTGCACCAGGATTGTGTATCTTGTCACATTAGAGAGATTCAAACAAACAATTATCCCAAAGCAAACAGCACAAAATAAACCCTTACTTTTATCACATATACCCACTGGTGGGATAAATATCCTCTGGCAACAGCCTCAATGCCACACTAAAGAAATGCATCTTTGCACTGCACTAAATTTGCTCTGTAGCACACCAAATTAGCACACTAGTGAACTGGCAGTAAGGAGCAAAATCCTAAGATGAGCTCCCTCTGCCAGATGTGCTTCAAAGACCAGCCCCCCAGTATATTGCAGTCATCCAGCCTATAAGTGACAAAGGATTCAGCCTGCAAGTGTCATGAGGGATTAAAACCTTCATTATGGTATCTGGAGATTTATTTGACTTGCCCGTGCCTTTAGATAACTTGTTTACTATATGTCACAGCAAGCAATATTGTACCAACAAGAAATTTTCCCCTTGTTAATGACATTACAAACAGCGCTACATTCAGACAGCTTGCTATACCTTAGAATTTGAAGTGGATTCCAAAAAACAGAGCCTGTTGCCAAATCCTTCTGCCGCAAGGCACAGTTTCTGTTGCTCCTTGTGAACAGTTGCAGTGCATTGCAGAACCACTTCATCATCCTACAAAAAACAGACAAAAATTGAACATGGTTATGGTTTTGATCCTATAGGACTTTGGGAAGCATTTACAAAGGCATAGCTAAACATCAGAAGTAATCAGCCACAAACAGCAATAGAAGTGAATCCCAAGGTAGCTTTCATTCCCGGAAGGGAAAATTTGGATGATTCAGAGGGAATCACCACAATAATGCGCTAAGATGCATGTTGTTTTGTTTGTTTTGAATTATATTGAACATCTCATCTATTAATATTGATTTTTGTTTCAAGGATAGACACAACAATGATTGGGGCCTCTAATCCTACTATTACTGTAGTCAAAGGAAATGTTGCCCTTGACTTTCACAGATTCTAATTTAGACCCCAATCCTGCAAAGGAATCTGTTCCCAAAGTCTTTCAGATGGCTCCCTTTCCAGTTTTGGGGCCTTAGATGCCGCAGTAAAACATTGCTACAATGTGTTTATATTCTAACACCACATTTCTTTTTAAGAAATGCATCACAACAAAAATAATGTACTAATGTAATGTAATAAACACTAAACACTTTGCTGACTCTGACTTATGAAACAAATGATAGTTTTTCCAGAATAAATGTCATTCAGGTGACTATGAAAAGGTTGCACTTAACATCAGGTGCACAAAATATTACCTAACAAAAATGTAGATTGATCAATGCAACCAGAAGCAGGTAGGAACTTGTAAGTATGAAACTCATTTTTATGGTCATCAGTGCAGTTCTTAATTAAACACACACACAAGCTGCTACATTTCTTCTATGTCCTATATGTAGACCAAGCATTTTCACGATAAATGATTGAGCTTCAAGTTGCTGGAGATAATGGGGTATGGTAAAGTTAAGTAGTGTTAATTCCCAGGAAATGCTATGCATCTCAACCACTTCTGTGAAATATTTTATTGACCCAAGAATCTCTTTACTTACATTCAATGGCTCTTTGTAGCTAGACATGTGCTGCTTACAAGATAATTTTAATTAACTATATAATATACCTGAATGTAACCATGTAATAACACCTGGGGAAGAGTCACTTAAATGTCTATTGAACTCACAAGGAGAGCAGAACTGGGGTGGGAAAAATGAAAATTCTTATCTACTCTGCTCACCATTTTTTACTCCTATGCAAAGGAAGGTTGTATATACTATGTGAACCAAGGGACTTTTCATCCTTAGCATCAGTCTGTGGATTCCAGGACCTGTTACTAATGCATTTTACATGACTGCTTGGCACTGAAAATTCAAGAATTTGCTGAAATATATTACTGCCCAAAAATAAATAAAGCCTCAGTACAGCAGTACATTAACTTCACACATAAAAGAGCTGGGCGATCAAGTATCTAGAAACTAGTACCTCTCCTCTGGGTGAACTCTTCTTATACCCTGTATCTATCCACATGGGCCTCTTGTACACCAACTTTCAGTACTTCAGAGCTGCTTTGTTCATTGAGAGGCAAAAAAAAATCATTTCTAATAAAGCCTTAGTTTTATAATATTAAAATAAAAACTTGAATGCTAATTTTTGTTGTTACCAGTCTGGAAACTTAAGTCCTCTCTTTCTCCAAAGAACACATTCATAGAACCTTTTCCTGTCCCCTTCCCCTAACCAATCCAAACCCCACTCGAACAGCAACCACCGTTACCAGTTGCCATTGGTTCACCCCACTGCCTGCAATGACCCTGCCAATAGGGTGTGCAAAGCAGAGTGGCAGTGTAGCCTTGTGGCTACACCAGAGACAGGGAAGTGAGGAAGTGCAAGTTCTCTTCCCAGCTCTCTCATTGATTCGTGATCTTTCTTTGTGCAAATAATTTAATCTCTCTGAATCTCTGTACCACTCTGTATAACGGAGCTAGCAATGACAATCCACCTTTGCATAGCGCTTGGAGATAGAGTATGAAAAAGGTATTGCATTTGCACGCCATCTATCATTATTATTTGCTTAAAGCAGCAATAACTAAAAGGGTTCTTTGGCTTCAGAAATGCAGTTCCCTGACACGCAGCACCACGTTTCCAGACTACTGCTACTTCCACCTGGCCATGCCCCCATTACTGGTATACAGCCCAGAATACATGTTGGTGTGGAGGAGATGCTGATAGTTACAAGGTAGGAGAAAGCATACAGTGTAGCTGACACACCCCACCACACACTCCCTTAACCCATTTTATACAGATTTTCTCTGATTTTGCTATCTTGTGCAGTGGAACATACGGCCCGTTGCCCTTAAATTTGTAGCTCAAAAACAAAGTATGCTATCTTAAAAATAAGATAAAAATAAAATAAATAAATAAAAGTTTGAATAGCTCCTTCCAAATGTACTTCCTATGACTTAATAGGTTACCATGAGATTTTCACTGACTAGAATGTGAATCAGACATGTTTTGCAATGTACACAGATATGTATAAATTTGAAATACATGCCGTATAATCATGGAGTGGTTGAGCCTCTCATTTTAGTTAGCAGCTTGGGCTTGATGGAACTCACGTATCCATATTGTCCAAAACATTTGATGTCTTTGTCAGAGTAAATCAGAGTCAGATTTAGTTAATTATAATGCTCATTTGAGTTAATTTTCATTCTTGTGCATGCCACAAGAAAAGCATCTAAACAGTAATACCCTGAATTCAATCTTCTGCTTTTGTTGGCTGTATGTTTAGAGGAATCTGACATATTTGCACCATCACTGCACTGCAGAATTGGACTCAGAAAAAAAATCCCATTCTTTTTCTATAGACTTTAGAACTTTAAGTAGACCATTTTCTGAGTATCAGTGCATTTTTCACACCTATTTATAGATCAGGGTATGTTCTCCCATTAACATATTCCTATAACCATAGGTGTTAAAATATAGAATTTCCTTAATTGTAGTTGTTATAAAGTCACTACAAAAAGACCTTGTGACATTCAGAACAGCCCCAGGGCAAAAGGATTGGGCACCACCCTGATATCTAGCAATAAGTTTCAGCTTGCATGACCAGCCCAGTGTACCCCAACTCACTATTGTTATAACCTGTATCTAAAAGGTGTGATGTCATTGAAAAGCTCATAACTCACTGATTATTAATACAATTGTGTAATGTAGGTGCAAGCAATTAATGCAAAGTGACAGACGCCAGCACCTTGTACTTTTGTGGAAACTCCTGACAGATGGAAAGTCAGCCGTGGCTGGAAAGAGAAACTATCTTGAACAAAGCCTACATGTTGGTAAATTAAGTTTTAGACTTTTAGATGCAGGTTTTCACTTTTGTTTGCTTGTAACCCTTTCTAAGTTTATTCCTTTTACTTGGTTATCACTTAACTTATGTCCTGTTGTTAATAGGTTTGTTTTATTTTACTATAAACAGACCCAGTTCTGTGTTTGAAACTGTTTACCCCAGTTGAGTTAAAAAGTGTGATGTGAATGTCTCTTTACAGGAGCAACAAATATTTCTCCGAAGTGGACACTTCAGGGCACACAGTTATGGAGAAATTTGGGACCGGGAGTGTGTTGGATTCATCTTATTGGCAATGGCATTGGAACAATTTGTGTAGTGGGGGTGCTAAGAGCCATTGAAGAAAACTAAACCCTGTATATGATGGAAACCACTTCAAGTCAAGCAGTGCGGCAGCACCCCCAGAACCCTTAGTTCCAGCACCCCTGCTTATTGGTTGTAACCAAGGCTGGTGGGAGACAGAATGGGGCTGTGGGGATGTAGACAGGCTGCTGGGGCCAGAGCTGCTGAACCAGGGCTGTCTAAGCACATAGACACTCAGGGTGTGTCTACACAGCAAAGAAAAACTTACAGCTGGCCCATGCCGGTCAGTCAGCTCAGGCTCACAGGACTTGGACTGCGTGGCTTTTCACTGATGTGTAGGTTCTAAGCTCAGACTGGAGTCCAGGCTCTAGGACCCTGCAGGGTGGGAAGGTCCCTGAACTCAGGCTCCAGCCCTAGTCCAGAAGGCTGCACAGTAATGAAACAGCCCCATCCCCACAAGCCAGAGTCAGCTGGCACAGGCCAGCCATGGGGTTTTTCTTTGCTGGGTAAACACAGCCTCAGGGTATGACCTGCAAGCTTCTTGCTGATTGTGTGCATCCCAAGCTGGGAGCTACAGTAGCAAGGCATTGTAAGGCACCCAGGGTTGCCGGACAAGTGGAGACACCTCCACACTGGATTGTGCCCCCCAAACCCTGACTGGACAATGACACCTATTTCTAATTTCCTCTCAGCCCTCATGTAAAGAGGACTGAAGTATGCCTTATCCTAACTATTTAATGGGCACTTAATGTACTTTTCAAATATTCTTAAATCTTTAATTAGGAAGTTTCCCAAACTGGTTCCATTCCTTCTTTAACCTTCTGAGCACTTTTACACCCCATCCATTATGTTGGAGAGGTTTTCTGACATCACAATTTTAGCCGTCAGTCACCTGTCAGGTTCAAATTGATAAAAGCACTTTATGTCTCAGATGGGTATAATTGCATCCTTCTAAAAGTTAGGTAATCACATTTTATTAGATATTCCTACTCCTAATCACTTCTCTCCTACCCTCCTGATTTTCTGCTTAAAGTCCTTTGGTACAGTCAACAGTAGTTGACAAAAACACCTTAAAAACATTTAAAGAATTCAATAATTCTAAATACCTCGTACACCCTCTAAATTGTCCACAGTCATTTGAATGCCCCATGTCCTCTCTCCTCCTGGAGAGAATCTGTCCTAAAGGTCACAATACCCCCAGTGATGTTGGGAAGTATTGTTATCTCCATTTTACGCAAGGGAAATGATTTACACAGATTGAATCACCTACCCCAGGTCACACAGTATCTGTGGGATAATAGGAATTGTATCCAAATCTCTAGTATCCTTCATCACAGTCTTAACCACAAATCATTTTTCCTCCCAAGCTCACAAAGAATTTGTATCCCTGCTAAAGGTAATGCAGTACCCACCCACAAGTTCTCATTTTAGAGTCATGAGAAGGTTGCAGGCTAATCTACTTATCCACACTAGA